GCTATCCTCATTGTAGGCCTTCCAATACTCTTTTCCATCAGCCTCTCAAATGTTGCTGGAGCATTACTAAGCCCGAATGGCATCACTCGGTATTGTTAACTATGTTCAGTGTTTTAAGTACATCCTTGGGGATTATTATTAGCATGAAACAATGTTTTAATTTTGTTGTTGCTTCGTTGCCTTGTTGCATCGTCAGTATATCAAACATAAAAAAATCTGGTTTTAAAGGTGCTTCTGAAATGGCTTGAAATTCCAATTCATGCATTAAAAATTACAGCAAAAGTGAGTGCCGTACGGTTTCCCATAGGTACACTCTTGATTCCAGCTGATTTCCACCATAGTCAATTGTTTAATTTAATATATGAATTTAAATTATTTCATTGACTTTAAAAAAATAATTGTGTTACACTCTGGTTTCACTCAGAGTCAAAACTCTGAGCTACTTATACCGCCCACAGAGAAAAGTAATTGTTGAACATTTCGGTTATGCCAAGAGCTGTTCAGCAATAACATACTGTTACGTCTCCGTTCGTTAGTTAATTTTCCGTAAAAATGCTTTCCAAAGAAACTTTACCAATAGAAGTACTTTCTTAAACAAAACTGGTTTATTCTTTCTGAATACATCTTTGCGACACACTTAATTTCAACAGAAGCGCTATAACAAACGATATAATTCACAACGAACGTCTCACGTGCTCGACTCAACAATACTCAGTTCAATTACACATTCTTGCCGTCACTTTGTGACCGTCTTATATATACAAGACTACCGCATGTCTAGTAAACGCTAGACCATTCAGGAAGGGACAGGATATTTCTAGAAGTCAATGACGTATTACTAGCGTCAAGTGACTTCCGATGTCGTAACAATACAGTAAATATACATTTTTTATCCTTTAAGTTATGTCACATTTTGAAATGTGAATGATAGTATGATTAATTCCTAACAATTTAGTGTAGAATATCCTGCTTGCGAAATAAAATCTAGCATCAAAATTATTTATGCCTGTTCTCCTGTCATTTCAAAAGTGAATATTGGACTTTACCTGAGTGCGCAGCTTTTCAAATGAGAGACAGACGAACGTTCGAACAAACACCACGGTTCACAATATATATATGAAATATAGTTAAAACTCAGAGCTCTATCAGGGGAACAACCCACACCATCTACAGTTTCAAGTGAATTGGGTTATTGTTAAGCACAGTGCTACACAATGGGCTATTTGTGCTCTGCCCGCTTCAGGAATCGAAGCTCGATTTTTTACGTCTTATCCTGTTCACGTACTACTAAGCAACTGGGTGCTACAATTTCACCGTTCTACGTAGTGTTCCAGATTTAAAGTGACTAAGATTGGAAGATATTTTAGTAATTCACCTTTTGAAGTCTTCTCGGAATATCAACTAATAAACTAAACAATACGTCTAGAAAAAAGTTTTTTTTTAAAACCATAATTAGCCAACTAGAAATATAGAACAATGGCATTTATAAAATAAATTTATATACAAAAATTTAAAACAACTGTCGATAATTATTTGTGTTACAGAGCAAAACAATGTATATTTTGCTAAAGCATTGTAACAAGAAATTATGACACGTTTTCTTCATTCGACCTAATTCCATCAAGTTTTGGGGCTCTTGAGTATATTATTGTAACTTGGTATTAACACCAACCTGACGAGAAGTCGAACCCACAGCCATATGCTTACAAGTCGTGCACCCTACCTACTATACCATGCTAGTGAAGTGATATTGAGTAACAGTCTTGTTAGAAAACTTTTTAACTGTGTATTGAGTCCTTACAATCCCAGCATTACAAAATAATTTTTATTTCAAAATATACTATACAATGGAATGTATTTTATTTATTTTAATATTACAAACCAAACTTAAACAAAAACATTTTAACCAAAGGGGAGCTGGTAATTAGATAGTAAAAAGAAAACATAGAAAAATCTAAGTAAAAGTTAAGCATTATCACTTTATGAGGACTCGATAGATTTATATGAAGCCATATAGTTTTTTAGAATAATGAAATAAATTACAGATTACGTGAGGGGCATGACTTTAAGATGGTAAAGTAAAAACAAAATGAAAAAGGAATTTCTTATTCTTCGTTCTCTTACTTTTCCTGTTAAACTAAAGACATACTATTCTAATAATATCTATTCTTTTACCATTGTTTTATGTTACATTTGAATGTTTAAACGGGTTACTAAAAATTCACAATAGTAGAATCAATTATAAATAATAAAACAACTATTTTTTCACGTTTTTCCTTTATTGTAGTGACCTCTAGTGTAAGTAAAAGTTGTTTCTACATCCGGCTGAAATAAGATTCATGATGGACTGGCCAGGTGAAGAATGAGATGTATATGATGCACTCTTACTCTTAGAGTTAGAAAAATTATATTTCAGTTAGATTGAAGTATGTCGCGTTTGGCTGACTACTTTGTAATAGTTGGTTTCGATCACGATAAAGCACGTAAGTACAGAATTATATTTGAAATTAATAATAATTACTAAATCAGTAAATGATAGGTAGATCGAGGGCATATGTGAACATTTGAAGTTTGAGTTTGAACAGAACTGAATCATATTATTATGAAATATGAATCGTATGATTCATAGTAAATGTTCAAAATATCACGAAAAGCATTAATCAATTTGATGTTACTTTTTTGTTAGTGTTGGGTGTTGCCAAGCCAAACTAAGGAACTTTTCATTCTATGAAGTATTACTATTAGTATTATCGTTAATTGTAATAACATATTATTAATATTAATGTGGCTGTATTTCTTGAATTGAA